GGGTACAGAGATGGGAGAAGTTCAGAGGTTACACTCTCGATGATATTGTTCAAAGATGATCTGCTGTGTCTCCTCCCTCCAGCATAGATGATGGTTCAGGATTGGATTATTTCTCTCCACAAGGAGATGGATGCTCTTTGGGGAACCTGGAATTCTCAGGAAAGGGGAGGGGGGATTATGGGAATGCAGGAAATATCATACTGGGATTGGGGTATTCAGTTAGAGCTGACTTCAGAAATGAAATCCTCACTTAAGGGCCTTAATCTCCTTTGTTTAATTGGGTGGTTCAGAGACAACACTGATGGCCCGTGGGCATATCATCATCATGCTAGAGAAGCCAAGGATCTAGTTCCAGTTTGGAGATCTTTTTAAAATGGATTAAAAGATCAGCTAACGCAATGGTGATTTTCTAGCTAGAGTAAGAAGGGCAGAGTTGTATTTGGTGGTGGTTTGGGGGGGTGGGTTATTACCTTGTTTACAGGCTATGTGCATTCAGTCAACAAAAGAAAGTCAAAAAGAATAAAATGTATAGGAATTATCTACGGAGAAAAACCAGTGGTTCCACCAAAAAAATTTTGAAAAAAAAAACAGAAAATTCCAAGCATCTACATTACAATAGACAGAATAGCCAAACAGTCCCATCGACCAGCACTATGCAATGGAAATAAAAGGAGAATTCCCAGCCTCAAGACAACTACCCAAAACTCAGCATTAATACAATGATCTCAATGAAAGTCAACACCCTGAGCCCCCTTAAAACAACAGAGACTAAGAAAGGCATGTTATCATATATAAGTGTGCAAGAACCAGAGAGATTCAAAATCATAATATTTAACCAACCAGTAAAACGGAACCCTTCTCCTATCAAGCTTCTGAATCCCCCCTTTCTTCCTTGTTCGTCTGCGTACCAGGAAAGCAGAGTAGCAGATGGTTCTTTCCCTAAGAAGAAAAAAGGGATGATTAGGGTTTTAGAATTTAATGGGAAATATGGGAATAGTATAGTCGATGATCGAACTTGCCTTTATCGACTCTTCAAAATCACTTCTGATCAGCTTCTTGGAACAACTTGGAATGCCTCCTTGACTTCTCGACTTCTTTGTTCAATTGCTCTCAATGGTGATATAATATAAGGTGAGATTGACTGAATCTCTCTCAATTGGTAGCTTTCCATTTTTGGGTGGGAGACGAAGTGGAGAAGAGGAGACGTTCCTCTATCAAAAACGAAGCAGCAGAGAGTGGTGCAAGAACACACCAATGTTTTTGGAGGGAAAGTTTGTTATTCATCCGGTCCAAGAAAAATTCATGACCGGCCGGTTCAATGTTTCAAAACCGCCGCTTAATTGATTGAACCGCTGCCCTATTTTCTATTGATCGGTGGTTTGATCTTATTATGGCGCTTATGCTAAAATCGCCAATATAGATGGGTCTACCCTGGCATTTTGTATAACCACCGGTTTATAAACTTTACATCGGCTTAGTCGGTTTTTCTTGTAGTGCAATCTTATATTCTTTATAGTTTTACATATTTACTTAAATCTACCTTATAGTTTTCATTTTACTAAAACATTTCATATATTTTACAACTTATTTACTTAATCAATCTTTCATTAAGGAGTGTTTGTTTTGCCATTAGACCCATATTTTTATTTCAAAAATACTCTTAACATTTTTTTTCTGTATAGAAAACAAAATTGACCAAATATAACCAATAGAGTGGTTGTCCATGTCTTATTAAGGGTAAAAATAGTATTTTTATTTTCTTTTGATTAAATTTATTTAGATGAACATTAGTGTCAATATTATCATTTTTCACTATCATCTAATGAAAGATTGATTAAATCCATTGTAAATTATAAGTGGTGTTTTAGTAATATGCTAACTATAGGGTAGATTTTAATAAATTCATGAAACTATAAAAAGTATTTTAATAAATAACCCTTTTTAAAATGGATGAATTCTATGAGATTTTAAGGGATGAGAAGATGATTGAGTTGGGCCCAACCTGAAGTTGACTTTGGGTTGGATTAAGGTTAAGGTTGGGGGTTTCAAGCTTAGAATTAGCTTCAATCCAACGTAACCCAATCCGACTTACAGCCTTATATCTAGAACCGTCCTTATCAATGACAACATACAAATATGAAACATATTCCAGAAGTGCACTGCGTTGTGGCATGTTGTGGGTAGTGTAGGTAGCATATAAAGTTATCTGTAATATGACCAATTTACTTAAATTACATACACACAGTGCATAGCCAGAAATTTGTTTTCCAGGTTCAATCAATAACGCGTGTCAAAAATATTTACGACACCCACGTTACAGCTGCTGCATATTCGAGCCCGTTCCCCCTCCCTCTAGAGCTGATACCAGTGATCGGCTCAACCATATAAGGGGGCAGAATCGTCTCTCCCAAATATTAAGGCATTTTTGAATATAAAAAGATAAGTTTAGTATTTTTGAAAGTTATAAGTCACGTGATGGCATATGTGAACAGTTGTTGGCATATGTGAACAGTTGTTAGAAATAATACGGGTAACGTTATACAATTATCAAACAGTAGAGGTATATTTAGCCAATAGTTAAACCATAAAGTAATTTAAGAAATTACCCTAAAAATAATTTAAAATCTTTAAAATACAAATATAGAGAAACAAAGCTTAATCATTAATCACACTACTTCAATAAAGAATAATAAGTGAACTACACAATTGAGTGAACAAAGAATTTAAATATAAGTACAAAAGAAATCAATGAAAATATTTTTCTAGAAGAAAAAATTGTAAGCCTATATAATTATTAAGTGAACTACACAATTATAAATAAGAAAATAAGAGAACTCATACTTTATCTCAATTTTATACTTGTAATACTTGTAATCAATCAATGTGGTAATTGAGTTCTTGATTTAACTTAATAACAAGTTTTGCATAGGGGTGATCATGCCCGGCCTGGGATTTCGGGCCTGAAACATAAGCCCTAGCCCAGGTCCATAAGGGCCTAGGCTGGGCTGGGCTTAATTCCAGGTCAATGTCACTCATATATATATATATATATATATTAAATGACATAACATGCATACATATGCATATATGTAAAATAACATATATGCATATAAATATAAAATATTACATATAAATATAAATTATACATGTTATGTTATAATATTTATATATAAAATATATAATATAATATAAAATAACATGTATACATATGCATACATTATATAAAAAAATGTGTAAGTTTAAATATATGCGGGCCTGGGCCCAGGCCGGGCCTAAACACAAAACCTAGGCCCAAGCTCGGAATTTCTAGGTTGGGCTTGTGCGGGCTGGGCTGAAATGATCACACCTATTTTGCATTACGAAAATAAGAAATTTACGTTAGAAATTCATATGCATAAAATATACGAGAGGGCTATTAAATTGGATTTCTTTTTTTTTTCTTTATTTTCGGTAAATAATGTAACTTTCTTTTCTTTTCAAGCCTTCTTTGTTGTTTTTGTTTTTATTTTCATCCAAGGTTAAATTGCCTTTTTTGTGCTTTCTATTCAAAGTAAACCAATGTTTCTTGTCTCTTGATAGGCGAACCCACTCTTTAATATTGCTAAATTGACCATACCTCTTTAAATTTTCATTCAAGAGTGTGAGGCCAATGTGGAGAATAGCTCAAAATAATACTATACTTTGCATGTTTTTTTCAATTCAATGGGGTTGACTAACACCTAGACCTGTTCATGGGCCGGCCCGGCCCGGCCTGGCCCCCGAACGGGCTTGAACAGGTATATGGGCCCATGGGCTTAACCTCGGGCCAAAAAGCCCGACCCGCAATAAATTCGAGCCGGGCTCGGGATTTTCCAAAATAGCCCGGCCCGGCCCAACCTATAATTAAACCTAAAACCCCTTGTCAAATACCCCTCTTTTTTTCACCTCTTTTCCTTATTTTTCCAACCGAACCCTTCTTCTCCACATCCTCTTTCCCTTCTTTATATTATGTTTTTAATGTAAATAAATTTTGATTTATATTCTTTTTTTAATGTAAATAAATTCTGATTTATATTGATTATTGAATAGGGAAAAATTCTAATTTTTTTTATTAGGTCGGGCTTCAAGCTCGGTCTCGGGCTTCGAGCTTTTTATCAAGGCCAGGCTCGGGCCCAAGTTGTAGGCCCATTGGTCGGGCCGGGCTCGGGCTCGGGCCCAAGTTGTAGGCCCGTTGGTCGGGCCGGGCTCAAGCTTGGGCCTAACATATTTCCATTAATGAAGAGTAAAAGCCCGGCCCGGCCCATGAACAGGTCTACTAACACCTCGTATGGAAGAGATACTAAATGAGTGGTTCATGTTCATCTTCAATGCCTTGAATAGTCGGTTGATCTTCAAATACTATGATTGCAGTTAGCTAGACCTATTCATGGGCCGGGCCGGGCTTTTACTCTTCATTAATGGAAATATGTTAGGCCCAAGCCCGAGCCCGGTCCGACCAACGAGCCTACAACTTGGGCCCGAGCCCCGACCCTGATAAAAAGCTTGAAGCCCGAGCCCGAAGCTCGACCTAATAAAAAATTTAGAATTTTTCCCTATTCGATAATCAATATAAATCAAATTTTATTTACATTAAAATAAGAATATAAATTCAAAATTTATTTACATTAAAAAAAAGAATATAAAGAAGGGAAAGAGGATGTGGAGAAGAAGGGTTCGACTGAAAAATAAGGGAAAGAGGTGAAAAAAAGAGAGGTATTCGACTAGGGTATTTAGGTTTAATTATAGGTCAGGCCAGCCTATTTTGGCAAATCCTGAGCCCGACTCGAATTTATTGCCGGCTGGGCTTTTTGGTCGAGGTTAAGCCCATGGGCCCATATACCTGTTCAAGCCCGTCCGGGGGCCGGGCGGGGCCGGATCGGCTCGGCTCAGCCCGTCAGGCCACTCGGCCCATGAACAAGTCTACTATTAGCCCATAAAATTTTGAAGGGATAATTTGGTAGTTTCACTTTCACAATTAACCTTATTAACTGATGCGATTGGGGGTGTAGGAAAGCAAAGTTTGAAACAGGTGAATGTGTAATTGACCTAAGGCCCTGTTTGTTTTTTGGTAAATTACTTACACAGATAAATACAATTACCTAAATAAGTTTTTCCTGGGTAAGTGCATTTACCCATTCTCAGATGAACAAGGTAATGACCATTTTAATTATAAAAAATCCATTATTAAAAGGGTCATTTTTGTTTCATTCAAATCTTATCAACTTTTCTTTTAGGTAGAAAATTTATTTACCTATGTAGTAGATGGATCATAGACACCTAGACAAATAAACTTTTCCTGATCCCCACATTAATCCGAAAAATGAATTTAGTATTCTTGATAATGGGAAACAAAATCCGATTGACCAACTTTCCCCATCTCAAAATCCAAAAAAATAACACCCCCTAAGAATTATCCTATGATTATTTTTTTTATATTTTTTTTTGTTGATAGTCCTTAACCTTAGCCTTAGACTAATTCCATTCAAATCAACTCAAAAAACAATTACAATTTTTTTTTATTTTGATTTAATGACATGACATTTCCTTACCAAACCCATTTGGCTAGATAATCAAATTAGGGTTTTTGTTACATAATTATTGCAACCATTATACACTTCCTAATCGTTTTTCTTTTGTCATTCAAAGTTCAAACGAGGATTTGTTCATCACAAAACACCAACTTCCCTCCTTTCTCACAGAGCCCCTGTTCACCAACCGAATTAACTGCCTTCCCATAGCTATACCGCAGCGGCATTCTCCCCATAATCCTATGAAACTCTCGTATGCACTCTCCCCTCCTCTTCCTATGCTCCCCTCTCCTGCTGCTCAACCCCACATCCCTCACTCCCCTCCCTTCGTCATCGTTACGCGCGTCCCCCCAGTCCCTCACCTTCCTCGCTCCCACCAAAACCGGCCCCGAACCCGACTCGTCCGCCACCACGAAATTCATCAATATATCCTCGCAGTTCTTCATCCGATCCACCACCTCCCTCATCTCCTTCACGTGGGCCCCACAGCTGTACCTGTAGAGATAGTCCGTGTTCAGCATCATGAACTTGGTCAGCAGGATCGAGTACTTGTCCGGATGGACGGTGTAGATCCACGTACGCGACACCAGATCGAGATCGTGCGATCTCGCGAAGAATCCGACCAGGCGGTTTCGATGAGACCTCCACACGTTGAACGCGAACTCGACCGATTCGGAATCGATCTCCACGTCGTCGTCGCAGATCGCGACGGCGCGCGTTGTGATCCAGGACGGTCTCGGGAGGAATCGCGCGTTGAGACTGTCGGAGGATTGGCGAAGTATGGAGATCGGTGCGCCGCCGAGATAGGAGGAAGTGAGGTTTTCGTTTAGTTGGGTTAAGATTCTGTGTGAGGTGGTGGGGTTGCCCCAGAGAATGAATACGGCGGCGACGGAGGGACTGGAGGAGTACGTGATGGCGATCGAATGGAGGAGATGGAGCCGTGATTCGGAGTAGCCGTTGATCAGGACGGTTACCTGATCCAGTCGGAGGGTTCTTGGGTCCGGCAGGTTTCTAGGGTTGCATGGATCGGAGGAGATAGGCCGCCGAGAGGAGACGACGACGAGTGAGAAAGAGAAGAAAAAGAAGAAGACGGAGATTATGCTTTTCATTAGTAGTGAGTCAGCTTTTTTCGGTCGAGTGTAAGACCCCGACTGTGGGGTGTGTCAGACCGGCGACGACGGGGGTTGTGAGTAGGGAACCATGCGGCGGAGAAGAGGAAAGTGGGTGAGGCAAAAGGTTTAAAATGAGAGAGGTTACAGGTTTCTCATTTTCTGCAAGATCGGATGGTATGAGACTAACGTGCGCCAGGGAGGCTGCTTTCCATGTTGGTGGCTGTAAAACTCCGCCATTGGTGGATATGTAGCCCATGGCCCATGGCCCAGCTAAGAAGTGTTGTGGACGTCCGTGGATGGCATTTTCGTTATTTAAATAAAAAATAGGTGCTGTTTTGGAGGTTTCTTCTCTTAACATATCCACTCGAGAAAATCTTGTGAGGGAGAGTTTGTTTCTCTCTCTGCAATTCTTGAACTATAATGGCGATCTCAATGACATCCACAAGGCTCAATTTTTCACATAAGCTGCCATCATCATTCTCTTCTCCAATAAGAAGGCGTTCGTTAAGGCCAGTGCGCTGCAAACCCCTCCAACAAACACAAGAACAGGTAAAAGTTTCAATAAGTTCGTCAATCCTCAATTGTTCTGACAAGAGACATTGTCTTGGATCCATTTTGGATCAAATGGGAAGATTCCCACAACCTAAATTCACTATTTTTTTACTGTCTAACATTGGGACCTGGTTCAATTTATGAACAAACTCAATTTACACAGCCACGAAGGCTTAGTTGCATTGATACAACTCTGTAGTGCTTATATGGCTTTCTGATATCTGCCATAAGAAGTTATTCATCATTGGGTCTGTCTGAATGTGCATCTTCTGCCTTATTGGTTGAGTATCTGGTTATTGTTATACTATTTTTGTTATCTTAATTAAGAAGGAAGATTCTTTTGTATAGATCATATGTACTTGATAGAATGCAAAGGGAGTGCCTCTTTTTCTGGTTAGCTTCAAGCTTAGCTTTGTAACTGAAGCATACCATTCTGAAATATGGATCTCTGTGCGAGGGACTATTTCCTATCCTGCAGGAAGTTTAGAAATGTCCTGCAAGTTTGGGGTCTTGTGGTCAGCTTCCGGCTTGATAGAGATCATTCCACCCACCACTATTAGTTAATGTTTGGAGTGTTGGATTTAAGCAATTATTACGTGCTTCCTGGCTCATATTTCACAATCTCTTTAATTGTTCATAAACTCTCTAAATCATTGTGGAGCTGGTTAAGATATTTGAAAAGAAGACTAATGTAAACTGAGAATTCATCTAAATTCTTTTACAGTTTTCAGTGCTAATGGTTTTCAAGCTATACTGGACACAAGTTAACTCAATTAAGCCTTGTCTCAATTCCCAACTATACAGGGTTAGCCACGAGTCCTATTCCATCATTCTGCTCTATTCAGTGCTATTCTCCATTGTTAAATTATGGGCCCTTAAATCATTTTTCACTACTTTACTCCATGCCTTTTTTTTAGTTTGCCTCTACCTCTTTTAGACCATTCAACTTGTAACAGATCAATTCTTCCCACTGGTTCGGTAGATGCTCTTCTTTGAATGCAACCATGCTACTTTAGTCTACTTTTCCTCATTTCATCAACATTGGATCTATTCCCATGTTCCTTCAAATGCTTATTTCTGATGACATCTTTTCTACTTTCCTCACTCATCGATCTCAACATTCACAGTTCTGCTACACTCATTTTTTTAGCCTAAGTGGTATTCTCTTATGACAAAGTACTCCAAATGCACCTTCCATTTTTCTCATCCTACTCTAATTCTATGGGTGAAATGGTGAATCTACCTTAATCTCTCTTGTTATGGATTTTTGAACCAAGGTGACAAAAGTTGTTGTATTGAATTATCTCTGGGTCTCCAATCCTACTAGTTTTTGATCTATGATGCTTGAAAATAAAAAATGATATTAAAAACAATATTTGCCCCATTGGTGCACACGAATTTTGATACATGCATCTCATCCAGCATGTTGATCCCCAAACATAATGTTCTAGATTTCTAGGTATGTTTTTGTATTTTCTAGTTTCAAGATAAAGAAGAATAAGTATCTATTTGGTATCCTGTACCCAGTACTTCTTTCACATTTTTGGGTATGAGCGTATGAAACCAAAGTTGTGAATAAATTAAAATAGGAAATATTGGATTGTGAGATAAGATGCCAAATATCTTGGTCTGAACAACTTTAGAGCTTAATGAGATTGCTTTTTGGATTTCATCAGAGGAAACCAAAGTATAGTTGATTAGGAGGGTTATCTTCTGACCTCAATCTGTTGGAAGTCGTTCAATTATTTCTCCCTCAAGTTTCTTTGTGCATAAAATGAAAAAGCATTTTGGAGGTTGTGGTGAGGTCTTCCATCACTGCATAGGTTATCCCTTCTGTGTGGCGCACTTAATTATACATATATTCATAAGCAGTAAATTGCTTATATCTTTATTGATGTTAGACAATGCTGTATAACCTCCTTCAGAAGTTTCTGAGCTTCTAGTGTTCCACTTTTTTCTGTTGGTTCTATATCATTTGCTTTATCTGTTATATTATCCTCCACCTATGCTAACCTAATTATATTAGTTCTGGAAGGAGGACATTGGAATTATATGTGAACCTTGTGGAGGAAAGGGGTGGTTGCTTTGCAGTTTTTGCAATGGACAGAAGACCAACGTCAAAGCAGAAAACAACCGGATCTACCGACGCTGCCCATCTTGTAGAGCTGTAAGTGGTCCCTTTATATGTTTGGAAGTATTAAAACATAAAAATGACAGTTCTGATCATGAGTTATCTCATATAATCTGCTAGTTGAATTGATATTAGGATCTAGAAATGGACCGGATTTGGATTGAACCTGATCTGATCCATACCCAATTCAAACAGACTGGACGGTCCAATGAGTCATAATGGAGTGGACTGGTCCAAACTTAAAAAGGTCCATTCCTTTATCGGATCAGAGTGGACATAAACCAATTGTCCAACGATCTGTCCAACGGACAGACTGTTCAACCAAGGCCAATCCAGGATTTTGGTAAAACACGTCTGCATTCTGCAATTTCCAACAGCAAAACCAAAGTCTATTGGATCAGATCGGGTGGCAATTTTTTCTATATTTTTTTCTCTGTTTTCCTTTAATCCTTGAGTTTCTTTATGTGAAAGCAGTCCAGTTTGGCTCTATCACATTTTCTGTTCTTTTTTTTTTTGAAAGACATCATCTTGTCTCTTTTAGTTTGTGTCTTTGTTATGTTACTGTTTTTCATAATTAATAGAGAACATTTTTTATGGATTGATCTAGTGATTCCAAATAGGTGTCTCAATTGGACCGGATTTGGTCCAATCCAATATGAGTAGGGATGCAAACAGATCGGATTATATTCGAATCAGGGTATATCTGAATCCGATCCGATAGCATATATCTGAGATTTTTTTTTATCAGAAACGATAACTTTCATTAGAGATAAATTAACCTGAAATACAGAATTCAACCCTTATTAGAAAAGGTTGATCCAATAAACATCAAACATTACAGCACTGCCCAAAAAAGACTCTCCCTTACAGTCCCTTGTTTTGCTAGGGCGTCAGCAAAACCATTTGCTGATCTCCTTACCCACTTGAACCAAACACCCACCTTCCTTGTTATGCTAAGAATTTCCCTTATCAGCTGTCTATATTGCCAAATTCCCAGCTGCCCTGATTGCATCCACCCAATTACCAACTTGGAGTCTCCCTCTATCTCAATCTCTTGTAGCCCCAACTGTTTGGCCAGTTTTACACCTTGATGTAGTGCCAAGATTTCTGCTCTTAAGGAATCTCCAACTCCTATTGGACCTGAAAACAAAGCCATTATCTTGCCTTCTGTTATGGACGCATTCCTCGGGAAGACGTACCATCGCCACCGGCAGCAACAGGCACCTAACCCACCGCCAGTAGCAACAGTGATTCAATGATTTTCATCCTACCCAGTTCGACAACAGCAGCCTTATCTAGATTAGATTAGATCATCTTGCTTGTTCTTATCTTATTCTATTGCTTTTATCTTATCTTGTTGGTAGATTATCATATTAGGATTAGCTTATCTTATCCTTAGCAAGATAGAACTGGAAGTCTCCCTATTCAGCAAGGAGACTCCCTAAGATTAAGACTCTTGTAATCTCCTATTTAAGGAGACACCATTATTGAATGAGGATATCGAATATTCAGTTAAAGAAGTGAGTTAAGAGAGTTGGTGATCTCTTGGACAAATCACCAGAGGCGCCAAGATAGGTTCATCAAGAGCAGGAAGGAACAAGGGAAAACAGGAGGTTTTCCTCGTGGACTGACCCGTGATGAGATCCTATTCCTGGACCCTCAACAACTTGGTATCAGAGCAAGGCGTCATGGGAGATCTGGAGCAGCTACCATCTAGGGTCCACGATCTCGAGCACCAACTCGTGGAGACCAGCTCCGAAGTCCGTGAGATCAAAGACGAAGTGAGGGAGCTGTGACGCCTAATGGAGCTATTCCTTTCTAGTAGGGAAGGGAACTCTAAAGGAGGGACAGCCGCTAACGGCCGCCGAGCAGATCTGCCAGAGTCTTCCGGTGAACAACAGTCCATTAGCCAAAGAACCACAGTCATCCCCAAGTACAGCAGGCTGGAATTCCCGTCATACAACGGCAACGGAGACCCCTTAGGCTGGCTGTATCGTTGCGAGCAGTTTTTTCGGAATCAACGGACAGATGACCGGGATAAGGTAAGTCTAGCCGCCTTTCACTTAAYAGAGGAAGCACAACTTTGGTTTTATCGGTTAGAGCAAGAAGAACCCGGGCTCAGTTGGCCCCAGTTTAAGTCCTATTGCCTTCTTAGGTTCGGACCCCCACTGACCAGCAACCCCCTGGGCGAGCTGATTAACCTTAATTAGACCGGCACAGTGGCTGAATACCAGCGACAGTTCCAAACCCTCCTCGCGAGGGCATCCTCCGTGCGACCCGACCAACAAGTGGATATGTTCACAGCAGGGCTAACAGAACCCCTGCGGGTGGATGTCGAGATGCATAATCCTCCAAATTTGGTCACAGCCATGAACTTAGCCCGCGCGTTCGAGCGCATGCTGCAGCTCAGCCACAGAATTTTTAATGTGGGTCGTCCACCAAACTCATGGGTACCCCCAAGATCAGCAACAACGACCCCCTCTTCTGCTCCCAGCCGGGAACTGAAATCGCACACAACCACCGCCTCTAGACCAATGACAAGTACAGGTAGTAACATGGCCGCTCCACCCATTAAGCGTCTGACCAGGGCAGAAATGGCAGAACGCCGAGCGAGAGGCCAATGTTTCAACTGTGATGACCTCTACTCGGCAGGACATAGATGCAAGAGGCTTTTTTGCCT